ACTGGCAGTGGCAGTTGCTACCGGCCAAACCTCCCAGCCTGAGTGGTACAATCCACAGGCCGGCAGCCAACCACACGCTCGCACAGTTGCAGACAGCGAGCTCACGCACGGGCCAAATTTCAGGGAGGCTTGCTTCTACCAAAATGGTTTTACAGATTCTCAACTTCCACAATTGCCCATCAAACCACAAGCAAAACCCAACGAGGTGGATTTGGGCGCTGCTCAAGTACCTGGGCCAGCGACGCCATGACGAAGGTTGGAAGTGCGGGAAGGGCAAAGGCTTGGGCAAAATGACTTCGGATGACGGCCACTGTCGACGAAGGCTTCATGCTTTTCCCACGGCACTCACAGAACATCGGTATTTTCCTGGTTGCAGCTTCTACAGCTGGCAACGCATCTGACAAAATGGATGGCTTGAAATGCCGTCACGGCACTCTCCTACATTCGCAACATAAACAAAGCCCCTCCAACTCGTTGCGAGGGAGCGAAAGGCAAAGGGCCGGGCCGGAACAGCTCACGGAGCAAATTCTCCATCTGGCCGTGTCTCTCCAAGGGGTTTCGTACATGCCCATAAAACAAACGCATCGTCCATGAACAGTCGGCTAGGATCGGCCAGAGTGCTGGCGTGGTTGGCATGCCATTTTCCTCGTGAAATACTTCCTGATAGTAAGGTGGATGCCGTAGATAATGATTGGTTTACTTGCAACATTTAGGGCATCCACAGTATAGCCTGGGGATGTCGTCAAAGGCGGGATGGATGTCCGATCTCAACAACCATACACAACCAAGCAGTCTTCCGCGGGCGGCGATTCGACCCTGGCGACCCCAGCCTCGCCAACGGCCTGGCCGAAGAGCTTAGATCGGGTGGTTTCCATGTTTCATGATCAACCAAGATGACCAACAATTGGTTTCATTCAATATTGAAAAATAAATTGCCGCATGCACAAACAAGCACACGCATTGACCGCAACAACTACATGGAGCACACAATTGCGCTTTCAATCATGGCCTGTAAGTACATTGTTTTGCGGAAAGGGATCGGGGAGAAACGGGGGGGGGGGGGGTCTTTACCAATCTCTCCCCACATTAAATTATACTCTCAAAAAATAAATGCAACTTGACAGGGGGGTAAAGGACAGCCAGCCGGCCCAACGACATGTACGACCCAGCCCCTAATCGCAAGCATGTGCTTGTGGGGGGCATACCGACCAACAACACGAGGCCTCCCCAAAGATGGAAGGAGAACTCAGTGATAGCATAGCTAACTTTCGTGAACAAGATGTTTCGCTTGTTTAAACGAAGTCAGAAACATGGCGTTGCCCTGTGGTGCTCTTCAGAATTTTGGTTTGTTCACCGTTGGACAATGGACTACAGGAAAACATAGTGACATGTTGACAGGTACTAATCAACACTGACACATATTGTGCAGATCTACGCAGCTGCGCACGCACACATTCAATGAGTATGTGTGCATCAGTTGATGTCTGTAATCGAATGTTACATCCTGATGTAAGCAATCATAATACACATACTCAAGCAGAACAAACAAACAAACAAACAAACAAACAAACAAACAAACACACACACACACACACACACACACACACACACACACACACACACACACACACACACACACACACACACACACACACACACACACACACACACACACACACACACACACACACACACACACACACACACACACACACACACACACACACACACACACACACACACACACACACACACACACACACACACACACACACACACACACACACACCACACACACACACACACACACAACCACACACCCACACAACCACACAACCACACAACCACACAACCACACAACCACACAACCACACAACCACACAACCACACAACCACACAACCACACAACCACACAACCACACACCACACAACCACACAACCACACAACCACACAACCACACAACCACACAACCACACAACCACACAACCACACAACCACACAACCACACAACCACACAACCACACAACCACACAACCACACAACCACACAACCACACAACACACAACCACACACACACACACACACCACTCATAGGCTTTAATTGGCAGGCACAAAATGGGCATGGCGCATATCCAAAACGATACTCTTGACCAAACTTTTGACCACACACGTGCACTTCCGCAGTTGATCCACCCAAAATGTCAATGCCGAGCCAACATCGATGAAAAGCACTCAAGCCTCATGGACTGGGTCCGGGCACATCAATCTCCAAGGCAATGTGCACAAGCCAAAGGAACCCATGGCGTTGCTCCTAAATGGCGATTGAGGTCGGGCTCTCTTGTGTTTGAAGCAATCTGGTCATGGTCAGTCACGTTTTTTGTTTTTTTTTTAATTCACCAAAGAGGCTGCATGTCAACCATGGAAGGATTTCAATCACCTTTGTGAGCGGCATGAGGAGAGGGATAACCATAACAATCTTGAACTAGGCATTGAAGCAAGCTGCACAGCGCAGCGCTCCATTCCACGCAACAACGATGCCTTGCGTCGCTTGCGCCTCTGCAATCTCTGGCGCCACCTGAAATCCACATGGCTTGCCCAAATCCCACGCCATGCGGCTGTGTCACGTGAATTGCACTTCCACCTGGTGTCCTTTTGACTTCCTTCCGTCTTCAGATTGTGAGAGACTGAACAGCTCACCAAACATATTACTCAACAGTGGCAAGGACTGCCAAACGTCCTCCTGTCAGCTCTGGGAACCACGCAACTCTGCTTGGAGGTCCTTAACAATCTACCGGTTGAAGAGCTAGCATCCCTTTGAGTCCAAAACAAGCAAAGCAAGCTCCCAGCTGCTAGCACCAAGTCGGCCGACCCCCGCCGTGCCTGATTCTGTGGCTCGTCGCACAGCGTGGGCTCAAGCGAGCGGCAACAACTTTGCCTCAGGCCAGGAGTCAGCCAGCCTGTGAGCCTTCTGGGAGTGGGTCAAAACCCAGCTACCCTTTGTTGGGACCCCCCCTTTTGTTTGGTTCATTTTGAAAGGGAATCGCGTGGGTAGGGGGTAGGGGGGTACCAGGGTTTTGACCCACAGCCTTCTGGATCAAACGGTTTTGGAGAAGCGATGGGCCCTTTCAAGCTGTACTGGCCATGGTACCTACGCGACGTTGAGAGGGACAGAAACAAAACAAAACTCTCGGAGCACAAGGCCGCCATGTCCTGATGTTCAGCTTGCTGCTGATTCCCAGTTGCTGGTTTCCACGACATGACCCTTGACCACTGGGGAAACACATTCATCTTTGAAATGGTGCGCTATTTCGATGATGAGCAAAGATAGACCTGGCAACTGAAATCTAAATATGCATACATGTAGTATAGATATAAATAAATAAAGGTTTTAAACGGAGCATCTACCCTTGGCTGCGAGGTTGGGCATCCCATACTCGAACTAGCCCTTCCAGGTTCAAAAGGAGTCTCATATTTTTGTCAGTGACAGATCTAGTGACTTCTGCTGTGCTTCACTAGCTCGACACGGAGCAGCAAAGCAGCATCAAACTAAGTCATGAAGTCCTGAGCTTTGCCTGTGGAACATCTTGGCGCACGGGAAGCTCTGATAGCTTGATCCTTCAGAAGCCACAGCCTCTAAAACCCACCACGATAACATGTCCACTCAACAAATTCGACAGGTCAACTTTTGTGGTTGAGTAAATCCATCGCAGAGTGACCCCCGAAAAGCAGGTGTATGCTCCACATTGAACTGGCAAGAAGCACCCTCTTCACCAGCTGCAATATTGCTCCTCCATCTTCACGACAACAAAGCAAAGCACACATACACATATATTACATATCCATGTAGCATGTCACTGTCAAGGGAAAACTCTGCTCCTACTTGAACAGTGCTACAACTCAGCTTGCGTTCGAAACATATTCAATCATACCCAGATCTTCCTTGAGACTGGCGTCCTGTTTGGGGTTGGAGGCTTCTGAATTCTACAATTGCGAACCGATCAGATTCAATCACATGCTGAGGCGGCATCCCCATCGCTGGCAGCAGTGACCTCATGAGAACAGTGCCACAAATTCTGCCTGGATAAAGCTGGCTGCCCAAAACTTCTGCACCCTCAGTACGGCAAGGCTTCACTCGCAATCACATTGACAAGATTGTTCAACTTGAGCAATACCTGAAGATAGCAAGGCCGGTGCCTCTGCCTGCGTCAGCAATGCCCGAGAGGCTAGGAATCGACTACAGCCAGAACTGCTAGCAGCGCAAAGCAACGGTTTCGATTCGGCTTCATTCAATGTGTTGTTGTTGCGTAGATTTGGATGACACCTTGGATATAATGTCAGTGCACGATTAGGAAACCCCCCGATCACAGGTTTCCCCCTTTGTCTCCCAGATTCCCACCGATACTAAAGTGCAGGGCCAACAAGGTTTGCCTAAAACAACCAAGCCAAACAACTTGCCGGAAAAGGGGCTTTCCTGTTTGCCTAATATTTGCTTGGGCTGCGCTTAAACCCACCAATACTAAGCCACTACTAAACCCCTCAATGTGCTTTCCCAATAATGCAATTTGTCTTACTAAAGTTTGTTTACCATGACAAGGGCTGAGAAAGGGCACTCCCCCAGCGCAGGCCAGCCCCACCTCATCAACAGAAAACTCCCCACGATTAGTCAGTGGGGGTTGTCAAAGCCAAAACTGCTGTCATTTAAAGTCCTTTTGCCCAGAAGGGGCCAAGAAGGACCGAAGAGCTTCTGCAGGTTCCTGTTTCCACTTCAATTGGCGGGGCCAGAAGTGACAGGACCGGAGGGCTGCAGAATTTGGAGAAAAAAAAGGTGAGCCTACCTGGGTGCTGTTGCCCGCGTGTGCTTATTATTGCTTTGCCGTGCAAACCTTCTCGACCTTGAGGGTGGCCTATCCAATCAGGGGTGACCATTCGTTTCCAATGCTCTCTGATGCGTCCGTGCCCCACGTCGCTTGGACTCGAAGCTCTTGTGACACAGCCTTGCCTTGCCCTCCTCTGGCAGCAAGTTGTCAATCACTGACACAGCCGAGTCCTGAGGTTCATTCGCGTTGCAGGTGGCCCAAACCAAAAACGAATCAGTGGCCGCCACTATTTTGTTTCTCCGTTTTTTCACTCCCGGGCAAGGTTTTGCCAGGCAACCAGCTTCAAAGAAAACATCAGCACGACTGTAAAGCCACCAAAAGAACAGCCCGCCAATAATCCAAACCGCTTACGCGACACACTTGCCAAGAAAAGCTTACTGCTTGCGCGGCCTTACGCCGCCACGTGTTTTCCTTACGCGGGGGGCCCTTATGACCACCCACCTTCAATCGCAGCACAACTAGGTTTTGAACCCTGCTCAGTTGCTTAGTGAAACTAAAAGAAGCAATAGCAGGTTGCAATTTACTCACAACGGCTGCGAGATGTATTGGGATGTATGGCTGGCCCCAACTTATGCCAACATTCCAGCCGCGCAATTATTTTTCTCGCTTCAATCAAAGCGGCCGGGAAGAACAAGTGCATCCGCGCTTTGCTTTCCATGCACTTCATGTTCCATACTCAATCGAAAGCGCTGGTCGAAATACGAAGCACAGGAAAGTGTGCTCCAGCTGCTTGCATCTCCAATCGGGCTTTGTTCTTCTTTGCTGCCATCAGAACAGCCTTGGCAGTCCAAAGACAGCGCCCAAGATTGAAGCACCTTCGCTTCTAAGCCCACGGCTACTTCACGCTCTGTGGCCGTGAAGTGTTTCCACTGCTTGGGGTTGCCTGGCCGGCCAGTCCGTCACATTTTCTTTGACAGCTCCTGTGTACCTCTCAACGCGGACATCAATACCTTCAGGATAGAAACTAACAAGCCAGAGAGTTAGAGGAGGTTCCCAAGCTCCCTAGGTCAGTGCTACATGGCTGGGTACCATTTTGGGGTAGGTGCACCACCCATTTTGGTCTATTTTCGTGTGGATTAGGATATTCACTGGGGGTATCGGATTTTGAGCCATGCAGGATTCAGTGCCTGAGATGGTCCCCCAGCGCGGTCGATCGCAGGGAGGTGAAGCCAGGAGCCTCCAACTCAGAGCAAAACGGCCATACGTGCCGAGCAACGCCAACTTTTCTCTTGTTTTTGCAAGTAGTTCATTGATGCTCATTAACTGACATGGCCCACGGCCTTTCTGTTTGGCGCTGGCACATGTTGCCGGCCTTTCCACATCATTGGGGCCTCCAGCAGTTCCATCTAACCTCAGGTGGATGGCAAGTGCCCAAGCGCTACGGCATTGCCCCACACTCGGCTGTGTGAAATCAACATTTTGGAGGTGCTCACCCAGTTCACAGCCATACAAACACTTGTTGATAAGAGTCGAGGTCGGTGGACCCAGAACCCAACTAGAATTCACCGACCCTGACCCGGGTAACTCTTATCAGCCCCAAGAATTACCACGTGTTAGAATTACCACGTGTTCGAATTTCTTGCCGGCATTGATGATTCTTCCAGGTCTCACAGCCGAGATGCCGCAGCAGCTTTGGGCCGTTCTCAGGATCAATTTCCACAGTGACCTCGGTATTCCCCAAAGCCTGTTAGCCGCCATCGGTCAAGCGATCAATCATCCGCCCACCCTGGGTTTGCTGTTTGCGGCTCACCGGGGCATTGCTACTTCTGACAAGCGCAGGCTTCCCGTCTCGCCTGCTGACCATCCACCTCGACAATGGCAGTCCGAGAGTTGTCCTTAACAGGCACCACCCCCTGCAGAACAAAACATGCAGCGTTCGAATGCTCGCGATCCTCTTTGATTCTTGGATGCTCTTCAGGCAGCAGGCAGGATCATGTTGAGCAGCCATTTGTTATTTGACGTGTCTCAAAGAACGAGCTTCTTTCTGCATAGTGGCTGACATATGCCACCTGCTCCTGGGTCTTTAAGCGCATACAAGCATCGTAAAGCTTGCAATGCGACATCTTCGCAACTTCGGTTGTAGCCGGAGCCATGGCTGCCAATTGCTCTGAACAAGCGTCACTTCGGTTGCTCTCGGCTGGAGAGTGAAAGAGCTGCACAGCTTTGTCTTCTGTAAGAAACCACTAGTCTCTGCTGCCCATTGTCTGTTGCTTTACCTCAGTCACACACACACACACATCGTGTACTTCAAGCACTTTCAAGCTTGAGAATCCTTGAGCCAAAGTACAGTGCGCCAAGACATGGCAAACGCGAGAAATGCGAGAACATTCGAAAGCGAGCATGCCCCGCAGTCCTCTGTCTCCTGCAGAGTCTTCCCCCACTGCTGGGCGTGAGCGACTTCTAGCATGCCGTCGTAGGCCTCCGTCATGTCTGGTGCCATGCATGTCTCGACTACTGGCACGGCCAAGAACACTTGTCGTATCCCACCACCCGCCTATGAGGATTGTTTGCACTGGTTAGGAAAGCAGCCTGCAAGGTCATGCTTTTTACTGTGCACTCTGCACTCATTATGTGCAAAACCAGATATTGTGTTTCACTTTCCAATTGAGCAATCCTGTTCGAGATCCACTGCAAACCAAGGGCTCTTAATTCCGAATAGCATGCAGCAAGCGACCAAGGGATGCACTATCAGTTGTATCTTTTTGCATTCACGACCCCGTTTCTCGTGGGCAAAGGAAGAAGAGAAGGTTCAGGTGGCTTGCAGATCGGCGCAAATCCCGCCTCCTGGCCCCAGAATGCCAAGGGGGATTGCCATCCAGCGACGCCGGACATGACCTGCGAAAACAAACCATAGAATCCCCCGAGTAGGATCCTGACTGGTAAATTCAATGGCCAATCAAACCATATCAACCTCTGAACAAAAAGAGAAATCAGTTCAACGCTTTTGGGTGCGTAGCTGCCTTTAGAGTCTGCCTGGCGAAAAATGGCGATGAACAGCAAGTCCGCGGGGCCGTCATTGTACCTGCAATGGCGATGTACCAACACGCCAATGCCTCTTGGGGTCCTTATTTTCCGGGTCCTTGTTCCTCAAACTCGATTGCATGTTGTTGAGAACCTCTGTTTGCGGCATTCAATGAAACTTCAAGCCTCTCAAAAGCTCGCCTGCCGAACCCAAAGTGGCTGGCGGCACGAGGTCATCGGTCCGCCCAGGGGGTCCGTGGCGGGGGAAGACCCTCGCTGTGCCGCCAGAAAGGCCTCCGAAGTGCACACGCTTACGAGGACCTGCGCTGGTTCGTTTCAAAGGAAACCCAGTAGTTTTGACACATCCCCGCGCATCTTTATGGCGGATTGCCATCCATTCGCGACTTACAGGGATCAACAGCTTCTTACAAACGCCCCCAGCCAATAAGGGGGTTTGAGGGTACCTTCTTTTCAGGTAAACCCACTCCGTATTTTTGTGTCCAACCTTAAAAAAGACACACCCATAACTTCAAAGGGACACAGCAAAGAGATGAAAGAAGTATGGCCTCCAGGCTTTTGTAGCGACCTGCAACGAGCGTCTGCCATCCTACCGGAACTCGGTGCAACGCTGGCTTAGAAGTGAGTACTGGTTCAACCAGTTTCTGTGTGGACACCACCTCTGTAGCGTGGTTTTCAAAGACAAGCCAAGGTAAAGTGAACATTCGGGGAAAGCTTTGTTGACCCACATCCTCACTGCACTCAAGTTGAAGTTCTGCGCGCCTTCCTTGGCACGCAAAGTGGTCGCCTGCAGATTGTAAACTTCGAGGCAAGACAGGCGTGGCGATGGCAAGAGCAAGTCGGCGGATTGCTTCAATAAGGAGATTTCGAAATGGTGACCTTGTGGGGGATTCTGTCCAAGGCAGCAAAAAGGACGGCAGGATCACAAAAGGGGGCCGTTTGTCTGGCTTCGCAAACAAACCTCAAGGAGTTCTGACACGCCGCGTCAAGCGGAAAGTGAGTCCCCACCTTGCGTCTGTGCGCTCGCTGCGCAGCACACACCGCCATGCAGGTAGCTGAAATGCAAACTGCACGCGCCTGGGCCAGCAAGCCACGTACACCACTGGAGACGTACGACTTGCAGAATGAAACATATTACCATGACAATTCTCGTCTCCGATGCCACGTTCGGACATTAGGTCGGACGCAACATACTGACAATCAGCACACTGAAAGGCTAAGATCAAGTCCGTTCTTCCCCCGGCCCTTGGCCAAGAACGCGCTTCAGGTCCAAGCGCAACGCCTGCTGCGCTGTTGCAATCCGGTGGCTTGCTTGGAAGCAAGTCTGCGGGCCCAAGTGGAAGCATGTCAATGTCTGTGCTCAGACACATTGTTGTGATTTAACCTTCCAACCCTATAAATATGACATTATGGCACACTAAGCGATGCGCCCTTGGAGACACATGACTCAAACAATCAGGCTCTGCTTGTGCTGGACTCGCAGTTACACATCTTTAACCCTCCTACGGCATTGTAGTAGCCACTGCCCGTCCGCTTTCTTACCTGGCTGAAGGCCCTGCCTTGGTACGGGAGTGCCCCCCGAGTGAGCGCTAGGGGAAGCGGGGCTAAGGCCGACATGGCTCAACGATCTCAGTGACTGAACCGGTCACTCATCAAGAGTTTGCGTTTTTGTCTTAAAGCCTTGTGCGGCGAAGGGAGGGGAACTATTGGAATGTTGCAAAGCGTACATGTGTTGCCCTGTGGCAAAGTCTTGCTGAGGCAGGTCTGCCACTGACGTGAGCATGCGGACACTCCCTTTTTAATGCAATGTCTGGCCCAGTTCTTGACTTGATATTTGGCGAGGACGCTTTGATCAAGCTCCGCGCAAGCCGTTTGGGTCAACCAGAAAATCCAGGGCGTAAGTAGCTACTCCGGGCCCCAGCCACTTCGTTTCTTGAGCTGGCGTCAAGTGGCGAAAGTGGCGAATTCACATCTGAACAAGCTGCAAGAATGCATGCCCGGAATTTCATGGCAGTGGACCCCCTCAGGATCTTGTTGGAATCATATTGGTTCATAACCTTGGCATGCTTTTATCCGCCATTCATGTTCGATGTATCGTGCCACCATTCAGCAACACTGGTGTTCATGCCACACGCAAAACGGCAACGCCCTCTTTTTGAAAGCTCTGGGGGGGACGAGAAAGTCGCCGTCGGTCGGCGCGTCCGAAAAGTGTGCCGGCATTTGTTCCACCTGCCAAGCTCCCTTGAAAAGTTCGCAAATCAAACCATACCAGCATAGACCCCAAATGGCAGAATTACATCGAGATCCGACTTGCTCCTCCGGCTTCTCACAAACCAAACCGCCGCGCCCGCAACATGGCCACAACAGCACTCTGTTCAAGCAGCACCCTGTGCAAGTTTGCTCTCAGTCAGAACCCCTATGGTTTTCACCCATCTGGAGAAGCTCAACCTGAAGGTTGACTCGCCAACCAACACATGGCATCGAACCCCTAGATGACTCTGCAGAGTTTCCCCGTCTGACAAGCATCTGTGGAACCAGCCTGAAGACCTCACAGAAGTGATCCACTCAGCTCGTGGGTCAATCTGGCTGGCCTTCGGGCATGGAGATAAGCATTTGACAAAGTGGCCATTTGCCTGCAGACTGTGGGTCCCCAAAGTCCCTGCGAAGAGGGTACCGGGTAGCTTCTTTGTGTTTCACTTTCACGTACAAATAGCTTTCTTGCGGCAAGGGCTGACGCTGCAGCAAGACAACATTTGTTTCTGCTGCCCACAGCAGACAAATGTCAAAACGAGATGCTAACTTCTTGATGGTTGACCCAACCTTGGCCAGTTGGTGACAAACGATGCGAGATCGCTGAACACATAACTTTGTCAACGCAATCAGACCCCTGCTATTCTCACATTGTACCATGAGCTTCACTCCAACACGTCTTGAATGCTGTGATGCGGGGCGTGTTTGAAAGAGCACCATTGACTGAGTCGGAACGTATGGGCACTCCCCTCCTACAACAATGTATTTAACTAGCACAAACAGCAACAGATTCCCAAAGAACCCCATGGCCTCTAGTCCTCGTGCTCCTCGAAGGGGTCCCGGAGCTCCGCGGAGGCTGGCGGATTGCAAAATTCCGGTCTTCCAAAGGACGGGTTTGGATGGTGCGGTGATGCTGCTTGGGCATTTTGGGGCATCTTGGATGGGCCGGCTTCGCTGGGTCGTCTACTCGGGGCGGCGCAGCTCAAGCTACTACTACTACTACTACTACTACTACTACTACTACTACTACTACTATCTTGGACCAACCTCAGCCATGATGATTGAAGATACTTTGGATGCTGGAACTCCACAGCCACATGCGCGGACACGGAAGGGTAACACTTGAGTCGGATATACCAACGCGATACCTTGGAATGGCCTTCAAGGGTAGACTTGCTAATGCACATCTTGGGGATTTGCGACCAGTTGGTCAACACCTGTCATGTTCAAACCATGTCGCTTTGAACTCAGGAGACCCTGAATATAAGTTCAAATGCAAATCAGATTAACTTGAATTCCTTTTGCAGATGCAAAACGAACCGTTTTGAGTTTGTTGGTCAGGAAAGTGGTTTTTGGAGCCTAAATGACCACTCTCGATACATTCGGCAACCCGCTCGTCTCCCTTGCGCGGTTGCCCCAAGAGGTTCTGGTCCTCAACCCTCATGCCACTCCATCTCTGAGGGCCCAAAAGGCCCAAAAAGCAACTCTTGACTGCAGTGTCATCGTGAAAATCCGTGTTTTGCCCAGTTACCCCACGCTGGCTCCATGGAGTGCTAGTATCGCGCCTGGTCCGAAGGCCGTCCAGGTGGAGTAGCCCACGATTCCAACCTGACGTTTGAATCGCTTGCCCGGAGCCAAGGTTTCCAACTTGAAGAGAGGATCCAGCAAAGGGCAGGGCTGGCAGAAGGCGGTAAGTCCAACTTTGAGTTGGTTGTGTCGCACCGAAACCAAGTTATGGTTTCGTCTTCTTACGAAACTTACCCAAACCGCAAACTCTGGCGACCTGATACGCAACCCGGTTCCACCAAAGATTAGCTTCGACCTTGAACAGCTGGATATCTCACAACGCACCACCTGTGTGTTCCACTCCTTAGCAAAAGGTCCGCACACACGAAAGGCAGCTGCTTCTCCCATGTGTCACAAAGGTCATACTCTCAGGCAACACTCCGACGAGACCGTGCTGCACGTCCCAGCAGCGAGGCTGCCGAGGCTCAGCACCCCGCGAAAACGGAGACCGTGAAGGCCACCGCGGGAATCGACTGGCCGCTTCGCCGCTTGCGCATTCAGCGGCTTGGATGTTTCGACCGACAAAAAGGGGCCCAGAGAAGGGATGGCATCGTCCTTTGAAAGGTCCAGGTCCAACCATCCCATCCTTTGAACAAGCCTCCTTGGTCGCAAATGGGCCAATTCTGATGGGGCGATTGGGCAATTGGCCTCAGCATCATCAGCCAGGACGATGGAGGACGCATCTGTCATCGCCTTGGATGTGACATCACTCTTGCCAGACATTTAAACACTATGTTACAAGTTATCAACCTCAATTGGTTTCTTATTGCATCCAACACTCCCCCTCAAATGATCACAGCAAATTGGCGGCCTCATGCCCTATGTGTGCCTCGCGACGAAAGGAACGCCTCTCAAGACTGCCGCGATTGGAACCATGACTGGGTTGAGAAAAGCAACTCTCAAGCGACCCGCTATAAGGCCGTGACTGACAAAAGGTCACCGTGCCTCAAAGTCGCGACGCACGCAAGCACGCATGTTTCTTGAGTCCTTGTCGTGCTTCTTGGCAACTTGGGCTAACTCCCGAAGCCATGTTTCTGAAGCGAATGAACGCAAACAAACCAGTCAGAAGATAGTTTGAGATAAGGTAGAATCCATTGCCCTATCCTTGGAAAATCCAACAGCAGGTCTTGAGGGCTGTACTCGAGTGGCAGCGCAGAGCTTTGCGTCCTGGATTGTTGCAGCCTCAGGGCACAGGCTTCTATTCTCAAGTTAAAGTTCCTTTGGCCTAGTTGTCCCAGTCTTGTGCTTTGCGCTGGAGTTTCAGCTTGCAGGCTCTTGTGCGCTCTGCTCCTTCACGTGGCTTGCGCGCCAGCTGCTCAACCAACCCCCGTTTCAGGAGATGGAAGATGCATGTGGAAGTTCTAGCACGAAAGTTGTGGATGCTGCTGCTGACGCGCCACGGTGTTTCTTCCAGCAAACGCTGAAATAAGTCATCAAACAGCAAAAACACGCCTTGCAAGGACGCGCCCAAGAGTTCACCAATTCAGCGCTCAGCAAAAGATAGAGGGGGAAAATGCTGCGTCAAACCACATGGGTAAGGCAAATGCTTATTGTGCAAGGAGCTTTTCTATCACTGAGCTCCACAGCCTGGTTGGAGTGCCGATCATGGCTTGATTGCTTGCTTGCTTGCTTGGTGGCTTACTCGGTTGCATCTTTGCTCGGTTGCTGACCGACAATCAATGAGGATGGCCTGCTGAACAGGAACTAGCTATATTGGATAGTCTGGAAGCGCCCAGCATTGTCAGAGGGCGGCACTGGGCAGCCCTCACATGTTTCATAGGATGATTGCAGTGATTGCTATAGCTGCTATGCACCCAGGGCAAACACGTACAAGTATTGTGGCTCCAGTGCCAAGTGGCGGTTGGACCTTAAGGGACGACCAAGGCCGAAGCCCTTGAGCAAGTCTGGTAGCCCCCGTGAATGCTGTAGCCTCCTGGCCGCTGAAGCAAGGGCAACGCGAAGGCGAATACATCTGAGCATCATGTCCCCATTCTCCGTAGCCAAAGAAGTCGACGCGATCATGTGCCCGATTCTATTATGTTTTGAGAAAGTTGTCATTGGACATTTCAGGGTGGGCATGAAGGTGAGGTGGAAACCTCTTGCCTTCAACTTTTATCGACTCGCCGACGCAGCGTCAACGCGTCGGCATGGACATGTCGGCATGGTGCCGATGCTGCCAATTGCTGCCACCCTGCAGCCCTTCCTCGAAAATCATCATGACGCAGCACCTAAGCCAAAGCCAATCTCCATCTGGCAGGGCTCAGCGGGAATGGGAGCAGCATCAAGTTGCACCAGACGTTAAGCTCAATAGCGTCAATCCATTTTCCCCCTAGCCTCGCTGAGAATTCGACAAGGCAATGCCCAGGCAAAGGCAAGGCAACAACCTGGCGGCGTTCGACAGGAAAAAAAGCTTGGTGCTGTAGGTCGCACCGAGTAGCCTTCTACACCAGTAGAATGTGCTGGTAGGAAACGATATGTGAAGCAGCTGAAATTACGGAGGTTCTAGTCTTGCTTCCATATACCCAAAAAACATTTTGGGAACTCCATCTTGAAGCAATCATATTTGTCTTGCGCAATGTGAGTTGCCCCTCGAACCGTGCGGATCCAGGTGTGAGGGACTTTCCGACTTCCGGCCTGGCCATGGTGAAGGAGGCGCGTGAGGCGAGCAAATGATCACTGCGAGCCATCCACAAGGTCCAAATAATTTGGCAAGAACCCTGAAAGAAAGTTGAAACACTCAAGGGGCCTTTGAGTTGAGTATCAAACAGTGGAAGGGCACCCCCTGGACCCATCTAGTTGCAGCCCCCATCAGCACCCATTCTGGGAGCTGAAGAATGGGCACATGTGCAAACCCAGGTTTTCAGGGCATGCTGACAGCTCTTCGATCTCAGAAAGGATCCGTCTTACAAATTGTCGCGATGGAAGTCCCAAGCCATGTCACAATGTGCAGAATACGCTGATTGCATTCAACGAACAGCATTCGTTGCGTTGTTGCCGAAGCTTCGGATGGTGCCTCGTGTAGTAAAACCTCATCTGTGCTCGTCTCACTCATGAAAACCTTCATAAAAACCCTTGTTGGACACATTCGCAATTGTCGCGTGATAGCCGAAACCTATGAACCTGTTAGTGAGAATCCTGGACCCCAAGCCTCCGAGACCTGAAATGGCTTTCTTTGCATTGGCACTACGCGCCTAAAGTACGGCCCAGCTGACGTGCAGCTTGCAGCCATGCAGGCCGATCAATTCGGCGCTGGCTGCAAGCAGCTCGGACCAATGCGAGAGCAAGCTGCGCTTCAGTGCTATGCAACAAGGACCAAGGAGAACTTGCTTTGTTGGCTTAACTTGACTGCTTGACATGGCTGGACAGGACCTGACTTGCTTGGCGTCCAGCCCTTGATCTGCTCAGCTGATTGGTCGTAAGCAGCGCCTCCATTTCAGAATTGGGACCATGTTCCTCAGGAAAGGAGAAAAGGAGTGTGGAGTCATCAACAGATCGCAATTGTTCCCTTTTCTGAGGGACAGAATGGTGCAAGCTGGCCTCGAATGGGTATGACTATCTATATGCTCATGGGCTAGACATACCCACAAGGCCGCGCCCCACCAAATTACCAGCACTTTATGCCGTGTTGCCCGGCAACTTCAGCTTGCTGGCAAAACGGCCATATGGGTGAAACATCTATGCCCCTCGACGGCAGGCATCTATGGCACTGTCATGAAGACGGGCTACTTCCCCATGGACTTCACCTGGTCGTCTCGCTCACTCCCTTGCTCCCTCACTCCCTTCCCCTCGCTGCCCCTCCCTCTCTGCCCCTCCCTCCCTCGCTCCAGAGGCATTGGCTTTCCCTCGCGCGAAATGGAAGACCGGGAAACAGCGCCGAGCTTGGGCACAACTTGAAAAAGGGATCCGGGGACAAACACATCTCGCGGCTTTGTTCCCATTTTGGCCTTGTCTGCCAGCGACACCCTCCCCATGCTCGTGGCCCAGCCATTCTGCCTTGGCAATGGGCCATCTGCGAGCCAATGGCCAGAACCGAAGGTAGCTTGAAGGAACCGCCGTTGATGGGTTACATTGGCCCAATGCGCGTGTCCCTTGCAAATGGCTTAAACACCATGCAGAAACATGGCCAAATCCTTCGTTGTCCTCCCTCATGTGTCTTGGCCATCGCATCTTGAATTCCAAAAAATGTGGCCAAAGCTATGCTATACTCTGATGATTCAGCATGCTCTGCTGACCTATCTATCCATCTGCTAGCAATCGCCTGACAAATACGGTTGGATTGCTGCAGCGTTTGTGCTGCATGGCACTGAGTGGCAGGCTCCCGACCAGCGTCGGTCACCTCGGAGCATGCGCTAACTTTAAATTGCGGCGCAGGCATCCATACGCCAGTTGCTTTGGAAAATTGCTCTGCAAACTGCGCATGTCGGCCGGCCTTCCCCACGAGGGTGCCCTGACTTTTGCTGCGTCTTGGAGTCTGACAGGTGGCGTGCGAGTTTTGCGCGGTTTAGCAAGAAGCATCTCTGAATCCGAGCAAAGCATTTGGTGCTGCCAAAAACTAGCGCCTGAAGTGGCTTCCGGTCAGTGCAGCCGACTTTGCCAACCACCTCGGCAACGCAGAAGGAGGCATGGCAATGACATCTAATCTGTGCCACAGAGTGCCCGCACTGCAATCAGGCTTCAAGTGTCCTACATGCTTGACTATCTGTATAGAGCTGCCTGCATCCCTGATCATGTTCAGTCTTTGGAGGCGTTTAGCCATGCAAAGCTTCCTACGCGAATGGCATGCTTTTGTCCTGCATGCTCCAGTGATGGGGAACTCCAGCATTGCCCTAACCGTGTCAAACATGCCACACGAATGTGGCGGATCACGCAAAGGATGCAGAAGTTCCTGCACCGACCAACAACTTCAACCAAAACTGACCAAGTCATAGTGCATGCCAGCCTTTATCAAATTCGTCGGTACCAAGGCCAAAAGGATACGGCCCCTTGTCTTAGGGCAGTCATCTTGCAGAAGCCATACCATTTCAGTGTGAGATCCAAACCAATGAAGAAGCAAACCATAGGGCGCACTCATTGCATTTCCCTCTGCCGTTTCCAAGGCCGCAGCCCCGTTGCTGCTCGACAGGCTGTTGTGGTCCTTGCGCACCGCCTTGCGAGTGCCAGCAATTTTCATTTTTTCAAACGGAGATTGGACGCTTTTCATGTGACTTACGGGGCGCCCAGGTCTTTCATGTTCATCCAAGGAGAGCCACTTCTCTTCGCCATTCGGTCGCTCGCCATCCGGCATGCAACTCTTTTCGCGCCATTGAAACTTCAGCTGTTCGGAGGCAGTGACTGTTCCATGCCTTGGCGTCCAGCAACTTGCGCAGCCACGGAGAACAATTGGAGCCCTTGCTCCATGGGGGACGAAACAGTCAATAGCCCCGGTCAAACAAAGGCCGTCTTTGTTTGAACCCCCCAGTAAATGCTTGCTCAGCAAAAGTGGCACGGCGCAAATGGCCGACGGTGGGTGCTGCAATACCACCGTCATCGAGCGGTACTACAGCCAAGGTCTGCTGCAAAAGGTCCCAGCCACATAAGCCTTAAAGAATGTTCGCGGCGCTGTAAGGGCGCGTAAGGGACAGGTGCCAGCCGCGCGCATTTTCTTGCTAGCGTCTTGGCTCGGATTCTGCAATAAAAACGAAGCAAAGCGGCCTCAGGAGTAGAGCTTGTCGATCTCCGCCCTGAAAGTTTCAGGCAATCTTGGAATCTGAGAAGTCCAGTGTTGCCAGGCTTTGCCATTGTCTCGTGAATGCTGCCAATGTGCGTGCTAGGACGACTCCTTCCGTTC